TGCAAGCAAAAATGTGTTATTTTGAAATGCCTCAAAGGTAGCAACTTTAGCCCTAAATGGTAACACATATTTCATTGGCATAAAGATAATAAGATAACAAACTGGAACCAGCTAACCAAAGCTAGCCTAGCCTAATGCAGCATGTTCTTACTGACATACAGAACTGCAATGAGGATCCTTTAAATGCTTGACTTAAAGGTGATATAATAGGCTGTTCCTTATGCATTACTTGCCAGTCACATATCTACTTTCAGTGGCATTGGGTTAACACAAAAAAAGCATTGATTCATCACTAATTTGTATATGTGTTTTCGTGTAAGATGGGTGCCTTCCCAACAATATAAACCTTTTGTTTTAATTTGTATAACATTATTTTGTACAGAAAAAACTTTTATATCCACTTTTATACTTGTTCTGAAGGAATGTGTACATGTCATCACATATGTAATTTTGAACTTTTAGCAAACTTGTGACCACACTCATTACATTCTAACGCCTTCTCTCCCATGTGAGTGGTGGACAGTGGAATATCCTGTTTACGAGCTCATGACTAAACAGCATGCCATGTACATGAAAGTCCCTTAGAGGTCTTCTCTTAATAATTTCAGTATATGATACTAATTCATACACACAGAATTTTGACTTCATAATGAAATCTTTATAATTACATCAACATTTTAGAGCCTTGGCTAATTTTACGCAAATGGATAGGTTACATTTTCCGAGATATGTGGTTATGAAATCGATTGGCAACTGTTTCACGATGCAATTCGTTATTGACAGATGTGGCAAGCAATTGTCTGGATGTATTTACGATTTCTTGTGAATTTTATATACTCCCGTATCGTGCACAATACGTGGGTTTCTTTCCAGTTTGTCAGGTTGGCGTGCCTGTCTAAGAAGAAAATGGCCTATTCTTCCTGTGTTGTGTTGTGTGACTAGTGGTACTTCTGAAAATTTATCATCGTACGTCGGGAATTTGTTAGGATGTGCAAGGTATGTTAATTTAACGTGAACTTGTGTTAAGTGTGACATCTGCTCGTTGACGGGGTGTGGATTTCGGTACTTTGATGCAGCGAGATTAGTTTTGTGTCACAGACTGTGAGCCCGCATGTAGCTACTCGTGAATGTTTACCGCTGTGAAAACCTCATATTCTTTACCTTTTCCTTCTCTTCCCTTATAATGGGGATACTTATGTCCCAAAACACTACTACAATTATGTAACATAAATTCAATCTCCACAAAGAAATCTTTATTTATTTTTCAGAGGCACCATGGTTTCATAAGACTTTGCTACAAGATATGGTAGTAAAAGCTGATCAGAAGATTAATTACACCATCCCAATTGGAGCTTCACCAAGACCTAAAGACAAATGCTCCGTAAATGGCAAGCCTTTTGAACCTGAAGTACGAGCTGATATTCAGACATTTGCCAATCAGACTGTGTTTGAGATTTTGTTTTCAGCTCGTTAATGATACTGGGCGCTACACTCTCACACTGGGGAGTCCTCAGCTTCTGCCAGTGTCACTGTGCAAGGTGAGTGTGATTTCAAAACCCACATGTGTACTTAGGCCAGTCAGTCTGATAACCGAAATAAAGACGGGGAAGTATTGTATTATGACTTTAAAATATTTCTAAGTTTTCATTTTGATTCGTTATTAATAGTGGTCTTGCTTTTTGTACCAGTACCAAGAAAGCAGGATCAACATTAAAATTACTTTTGTTGATACGTGGTATATGTAAGTGTATTTGCCCTTATGCTTGTAGAATTAGGGATACTTGTTCATGTGGAAGCTTACTTTACATTTAGGCAGTTCTCTGAAGTGAAGTGTTTTGGATACAAAAGTAAATGTCAGTGTCTGTCATTCGTGTCCTGTACTGAATCACAGTGGTTGTAGTGTAGAATTTACATAGCCGCAGTTTGTTGTTATGAAATTAAAGCACTAGTTACATAAGTGAAATAAAATGACAACTTTCATACCATATTAAATTAAGAGTAGTAATTATTTGCTTTTGAAGTTATTTGGCTACGTATACCCAATTATTTGTTTTTGGAAGCAAGCCTAGGAATGAGATATGGATGTGAAGAATTAAGCATTCAGTCAAAAATAAATATTCTAGTCTTATACTTAAGTAAGGTGTTGAATATTTCTTTTAAATGAAATTAATATACCATGAATCTAAATGTTCTTAATCATAAAGTTATATTATGTTTACAGATCGACCATCTCCACCTGAAGGTCCTCTAGTGGTTAGCAATATAACAAAGGAGGGCGCTCGCCTTACGTGTAAGGTACGACTTGGTTGATTGTGGAAGTCCCATTCTGCATTACATTGTGGAGAAAATGGATGTGTCAAGGGGCACATGGGCAGATGCAGGCATGGCTTCAGGTCTATCTCATGACGTAACAAGACTAATACATCGGAAGGAGTACCTCTTCCGAGTAAAGGCTGTCAATAGCATAGGAGAGTCTGATCCTCTTGAGACAGCAAAGAGCATCATTGCGAAGAATGAATTTGGTATGTAATCACATACGATTCTGTGAAAATAAAATAATAATCAAATATATTTGTCTAGTCCATATAATTTACTTCTGTTCTCTTCAAATCTTAATGTTTATAAGTAGTGCTTTCTTTTATAGAAAAAGAGAAACAAGTAATCTGATATTACATTGTTGATTAGCAGTATTTTGCTAT